ACAACCGCTTTCTACATTACTTTATGTCAAAATCGGAATGTAAAAGTACATTCAAAACGTAGCCTGAAACCAACGGGTTTAGTTTGATTCCTTCAACGATATACAAATGGAGAAAAAACGTGTTTTGTATGATTACATTAAATCGGAGAATTGCGACGCCTTTCCACAGGTAAATCTGCCTACCTAAGGTTCTTTTTTCTAATCACAGATTTCAACAAAAAATAAAAAATAAAAAATTTCTCGTACATATAGATTCTATACTATTTGACACTTCTAGGTTCAGTTAGATTCTAATTTCACATGGCTTCCCTTGAATCTTAGCCCCTAACAACAATCCGAATGCTTTATCACTTTATGTTTGGTGTTTTCTACTACTTCTTTGGATTAACAAATTGAGCACTGCCAGGCAATCCATTAAAATTTGCGGAAATACTGTCCTAATTCATATAAGAAATTAAGAACAAAAATATATAAAGTAAATTTAGTTTCAATTTTAACATCTTAGAACAAAAAGAAGTGATCCCAAATTTACATATGTATATGTATACTTTAATGGGGCCAAATGTTGATCAATTTTTTGCCCAATAAAGTTACCAGTAGGAGTTAGCATTTGGACACAGTTTGTGTCAATTGTCCCACTTTTGGGCCCCTGTTTTTTTCCTCCAGAAAAGTCGCGTAAAACGTAGATAAACGCCCATACATAAAATACTCTCTGCAATAGTTTGGAGTAAAAAATGATTGTAATTGGTCCAACTTTCAATACTAGTTACCTAGTAGTGCAGTTACTCCTAAAAACATAGTGAACGTACACGTGCATGGTTACGAAAAAAAATATGTATTCCATTTATTCCAAAATTATTGTTCAATTTAGGATTTTATTTTTTTGGGTTCAAATTATATTAAAATGAAAATTTAAACCGCATAATAATTTTGGGACATAAGATAAGAGGATATTTTGTGACCTCTGAGCATATACTGCGTGATTTCAAACTCGAATGATCAGTTAGCCTTTCAAACTCGAATTAGTTAATAGTTACAAGTAAATAATCTGACGTGATCTTCTAACGAAATGTAGGCCATCTTTTGGTCTTCATTTAACCCTATAATCGGAGGGAAGCCATATTTTTACCTACGTTAGTCACTTTCAAGGTATATTTAGTGATTTTCTCCATTAATTTTATCAATAAAAAATGAAGAATGCAGATCTCGATATCTATTTGATTAATAAACACACATAGGGAATTTGTTAGGGGAGAGCAATCTCGCGTTTTACGTGGATCCTAATTTAAACAAATTATTAATTACAGTACGTATATAATAAGTGGCCATTCATTATATTCAACTTCACGCATTAACAAAGTCAAATTGGTGTACCAGAAAAAGAAAAGAAACAAAGACAACAAAATCAAATTGGACCAACCGGCTCCTTACATGTTGTATGGAATTATGGACTCCAAATCATCAAAGTATATAAATTAAGATATCTGTACATTTCTACAAATTTTATATGTAAAAAGAGGTCCACGTTTTAATTTATTTTATCTGGGGAAAAGATACGTCCATTTCTTTTAATTTTGTGTTAATAATGAACTAGATCGCAATGGCTCCTTTCAATTCCGTTTTTTTTTTTAAATATAATTTTGTTGAAATATTGCCGGAAATCTATACATCAAATGCACGAATGTATTTTAAGTTGAACTTAAAAGTCTATCTGTCTTACTCCTTTCATTTTAAAATGTAGGTCATTTTAAGTTTGAAAAAATATTTCAAAATGTAGGTCGTTTTAGGATTTCAAGATAAATTAAAGATTAATTAACTAACTTTGTTCCCAATAAATGATGTTAACCACTTTGCATTTACTTTTGGTTATAGTTCCAAAACATTTAATGAAGGGCAAAATAAACATTTAACACACAAATTAATTATTAAATGATTGTCTCCTTAATTTATGTATAGAGGCTAAAAAGATTTACATTTTGAAATGGAGGGAGTAATATATTAGAGCAAAGTTGCGTAAATCTTGACCCAGCAGAATCGGGATATTATGGGTATGTTGTTATTGTGGGGGGAAAGATACAAATGATAGGAAGCAGGAACAAAAATTACACTAAGAAAAAAGATGAAGCCGCTGGAATCTTGAAATCATATGTAACGCTCCAATGGGCCTTACTGCCTTAGTTTGAAAAGGGAATTTTTTTTCCCCGTGGAATAAATGTCTATTTATTTTCTCCATTCCTTCAAAAAAAAAAAAGGACAATAAAGAAAAAATAAAAGAAATAATGTATCTGAACATTTGCATCATTGTATGTCAAAACAAAAATACTACCTTCGTCCTAAAAAAAATCTATATTGAGTTTTTAAATTTGTACTGAAAATAGTACAAAACTCAAAATTCAATATGAACTATTTTTTTGGAGATGGAGGGAGTAACAAAATAGGAGAAAATTTTAATGCGTGATATCCACTACTGCAAAAAATCATACTCTATTTGTCCTAAAAATATAGTCCACATGTAAATTTTGAGATTAAGTGAAACTAAAAATTATTTATGTGACGTACTTCAAATCTACAATGTTTATTTTATTAATTGTGAAACCATAACACAATGATAATCCAATCTTAATGTGTAAATATTAATGCAACGTCTTAAATCTTTGAAAAGAGTATTATATAGAGTAATGTCACATAAAACTATTACAAATCATTCTCTCCCTTCTTTCTATTTTATTTATTTATTTATTTTTTTTTTTTGACGTTAAAAACTTGGAATATATTTATGAAGAAACTGTAATATTACAAAGTTTGATCTCGAGGGAAGCGCAGTTTTTTTCCATCCTTTTTAGTGTTGAAAGTTGAAACATGTGTATATTAAACTCCATTTCACTCGGATAAATTACTGTAATACTCTTCCTACGTATTCATAATTTTCTTTTCTTTGGAAAAGCGAGAGACATGCGTAATTGTTACGAGGCCTTGAAAAAAATTGGCCGATCTACCCTAACATTCACATGCATTGTCAATTCTACCCTATTCTTTTTCGATTAGTCAATATTACCCTAAACTATTCAACCGTTAGCCGATTTTGTCCAATTTTCCAATTTCCGTTTAAACTAACGGATTTTCTGTTAGTTTTAATTACAAAAATATCCTAATAGTTTTAAAAATTATAAAAATGACCCTAAAAATTTGTAAAAATAACAAAATAGTCTCTTTTCAATTTTTTTTAATTTTTTTTTTATGTTTTCTATTTCTTTTTACCATTTTTCATAACTATAAAAATATACTATATGATCTTTTAGAATAAAAATTTATTTTTAAACAATACTGCACAAATTTATAGATATACATATTTGTAATTCATGGTTGATTTACATAAACATATTAATTTTTTTAATACTATGGCTAGAAAATAATGATATTAGTTTTCTAATCCATTTTTTTCAATTTAAAGAATAAGATTTTTTTTAACTAAAACTAATTTTTTTACAAAAAATTAAAAAATTTAGCATAGAGTAAACAATAATTGGCCAAATTTTCTGTTTCATGAGAGTAGATATAAGATTAAGTCTTACCAAAGGATTTCTAACTGGGAGAGTGATTTTATCCATATTTAAGTGGGGTCCACTAAAGGCAAGAGGGTTAGATGGTCAGGTAATTTAGGATGTGAGATAAAATTACTGTGTTCGATGTCTCGATTCTCACTGGGGCAATCTAATTTTTCTTTTTTTTTTTTTTAAAAAAAAGGTAGAGTCCAGTACTGGAATAGATTTTATTTATATTATTTTTTTTAAAAAAAGACTTTCTGCTAAAGTTAGATATATTAATATCTTAAAAAATTATCGCAAAATGTTAAACCCTTGCAATGATGAATATAAACATTTTTTTAATAAAATATTTTGTACCATTTTTGTAAATGCCATGACACTATATTCTTGTGTTGGGCCAATGTAGAAATGAAATATGTGTTTTTTTTTTTTTTTGTTACTTTCTTTTCGTACTTGACCTTTTACAGAAAAATTTATATTTTAGTTTTAATTATTTTTTAAATTTTATGATACAATCCAAAGTCTGTTGAATTAAATTGTAATACATTAAAGTATACCAATGACTTCTTTTTTAATCTATGCTAAATGTGTTATTTTTTGTGCAAAATTAGTTTTAGTTAAATAATCTTATTCTTTAGATTGAAAAAAATAGATTAAAAAAATAATATCATTACCGTTAAACTATATTATTAAAAAAATAATATGTTTATGTAAATTAAACATGACTTACAAAGATCAAATTATAAATTTGTACATTAGAGTTTAAAAATAAATAGTTTTTTTTTAACGATCATATAGTATATTTTTATAGTTATGAAAATATTAAAAAAATAAAAAAGAATTAAATAAAAACTGAAAAAGGACTGTTTTGTTATTTTTGTAAATTTTTAGGGTTATTTTTATAATTTTAAAAATTATTAGGATATTTTTGTAATTAAAATAAATAGAAATCCGTTAATTTAAATAGAAAAGACAAATTGGACAAAATTCACTAACGGTTGAATAGCTTAAGGTAATATTGACTAATCGAAAAAGAATACGATAGAATTAACAACGCATGTAAAACTTAGAGTAGATTAGTCAATTTTTTCCGAGGCCTTGGTTTCGGAAAGAAAAACTCCTCCAAAGGAAAAAGGGAGTACGAACGTCACTGTTTTGTCGGTATTAAAAAATTACCGTTACAATCTGGGCAACAATCGCCGGTACATGTTGATGTAATTCAACTGTAAAAATAGGGAAAGTCAACCATATGAGTTGACGGGTCCCGTGTTTACTTCTAATTCTAACCCCCCTTTTAAAACCTCTCTCATTTGAGGCCAATATAAATAAGAATCTAGATTCTCAAAAGAGGACAGATATGCCAGGCATAGAGAGGAGGACTCGGGAGGGTAGAGTATTACTGTTTACTAGTTCTTCTTCTTCTTCTTCTTCTTCAATCATTGCCAAACACTAGAAATGGCAAATGAATATGAAGTACTAATAAACCTCTTTGACTTTTATTGGTTTGAGAATCAAATTCTTGGGAAAACAGCCAAACCCATCTCGTCAAATCCAGTTCTGGATATGAATACTGATGCAGAGTTCGAGCAGCATTCGCCATTAATGAAGCTTTCTCAAACCCCATCATTTATGGTGAGGTCTTATAGTGACCAAGCTTTGAGTTCATCCTTAGATTTAGGTTCTTCTTCTGATTCCAATTCCAGTTCTTCCCCTTCCCCAAAGTCTGTTCTTCATGGGCCCAAGCTTGAAACTATTTATTCCGGTAAAGAAGTTGGGGGTTTTCCGGTTAAATCAGAGGTCCCACCAGCAGACAATACAGAAAAGAATGGGGCGGATATTAGTTACAGCGAGGGAAGAAAAACGAAGAACAGGGGAAAGAGAAGAGGGATAAATGGTAGCAGGAGTTTGTCGGAGCTTGAATTTGAGGAGCTAAAAGGGTTTATGGATCTGGGATTTGTGTTTTCTGATGAAGACAAAGATGATTCGAGTTTGGTTTCGATTATTCCTGGATTGCAAAGACTTGGGAAAAATGTTTCCGCCGGAACAGAGGAAAACAGAGCTTCAAGGCCTTATCTTTCTGAGGCATGGGCGGTTCTTGAAACCGAAGCAAAAGCACAAAAATTGAAGAAGAAAGATCAAATCTTGATGAATTTGAGGATTTCAGCCACGGGGAACAATGATTCGGAAGTCAAAAATCAACTCAAGTTCTGGGCTCATTCTGTTGCATCCACCGTACGTTAGAGGGTGGGTGATGATTAAATTAGTTGTAGAGCTGCTGTTAGTTGTCTTTCATTTTCGTCCTTCATTTTACTTTTTTTTTTCCTTTTGTAATTCTTATCTTGCAAATTGCTATAAATGTATAAATATCCAGTTAGGTTTAGTTGATCTTACTGTAACGGTTGACGAGCAAACAAATAAGGGTTTAAAGGAAACAAAAATAGGTGGTCAAAGTCTATTTTAATTTAAATAAATAATCGCGTCTAAGTTTTTTTTAACCTAATTAATAATTGATTGATGTTTTTTGAGTTAACAATCATTAAGAAGCCAGAAAAGGGGCAAAGAGAGGAAGGCAAGAAAACGAATAATGGTTATTGAGCTAACTTTTTAAGCCGTTGGAGAATTTTCTGGGTTCGAACTTAGAAGTGCTTTACAGCCGTGCTACACATCACGTGGTAAAAAAAAGGGCTTTTAAAGTCGCAGATTTTCAAATGGCATTTTTGGCAGAATCCATGCGCTCTTTTTGTTCTTCTGGAATAAATGTTGATGGATGGATGGACGGACTCGAATTAAAATTAGTTTCCGTTACGAGTTAATTTCGGGTTCTTGTTTATTTATACCCAATAGAATTGACTAAAAACAACGGATCCAAGTAATATGTTCACGTTGGATTTGTATTCAAGCAAAGTGCATTTCATTAAAGTTTGCTCAAAGTGCTACTTTAAAGTTGTAACTAACGACAAACCAATATAATTATCATAAGAAATCATGATATATATGGAGTTTTCCGTCTTTATGGAGTTGTGGTGAATGGTGATGTTTTGAATCACGACATTTTTGTAAAACACATGGCTAAATGCTTTTTTCAAGGGCACTTATTTCCCTGGACCAGGAGAAATCTCATCCATAACTTTCTCCTAATCAATAATGGAACGTTATGTTGTAACCAAAAAAAGAAAAAAAAAGAAAAAAAAAGGAACGTCATGTAAGACATCGACTTAATTTCTTCTTCATTTTCGTTTTTTGGTGTTGAAGTTGCAAATCTAAGTCAGTAGATATAATTGCGCATTGTACAATATGTAACCACTCTACTCCTTTTGTACCAAAGTAAATATCTTAGTTCAGTAAATAGTATTTTTATTTTGCTAACAATTTTTTTTTTTTAAGAAAAGAACTTAGAAATTATTTCGATATTGGTGCGAGCAGACACATCACGTGGCCAATTTGTTCAATTTTCTTGGTTAGGGCATTCACAACAATGGTAGAATTGTTGTGTAATGTCAGAGCAAATAAACAAGTCATTCATTGTGAGTGGGATAATGATGTCAGGGATGTAAAATATTTCACACGGGTTAATTTGACAACAAGTGGGCGCGGACGGGGCCTACAACATGGCCAACCTCCTTTTTTCCTCTAATTTTTTTTCTTCTTTTCTTCATATGCATTTTGCAGATTTTTATTTCCTTTTTTGTTTTTATTTTTTTGGTTAATTTTATTTTTATTTTCAAAATAATATCGATGATGAGGATTAATGTTATTAATTAATTTTAAATATTTTTATATTTTTAGCTATCTCCATCAACGTCCACTTTTATCAAAATTTTGTTAAGGTTATTTTTAAATTAACTATTCTACTTTTTATTTCGTGTCATTTTTTGTATAAATTTTGTTTTATTTTTTATTTTTAAAAAGAATACTTTTGCTTTAGTAATATATTGTTCACTCAATGATTATTAAGCTTCTTTATATTCTTATTTTATTTAATTATATTTTTATACTTTTTTAAAAATAATAAAATTATATAATGTACTTTAAAAATCATACATAAATGTTATTTTTTGTATATAAAAAATGTAATTATGAAAAATAAATTTAATTATTATTGAAAATAAATATAATTATTTTTATAAATAGTATAGTATTAATAGTAGGATAGATGTGAGGTAATAATAGTGGGGTAGCTGTGGGTCCAAAATTATATGGGTAATAAGGGTAATATTATTGTAGGAAAAAAGTGTGTAAAGTGAGATTATAGTGGAATGCTGATGTGCTAGTGTAATATTGTGTTGAATTATATGGATTGTTGGTGATGCTCGACATCTTACTAATTCAGAGCCTATGGATTTCATATTCTGACAAGCATTTTTTATGAAGGTTTTTTAATCTTTGTTTCGTACAAATTCTGCATATCAGAGAAATTATTAATAGTCTAATACTACTATGCAGGAGACAATCGATATTGATAAGCACGTTTATAGTCGCGGTTCACGTAACTTTTCGAAAAGAAAAAAGAAAAAAATCGCCTACAAGAAAAAGCATATTGTATTGAGATTGATGAGACTGAAGATTTTATGCAGCACCTAGTTTTGGCAAATCTTATTTCAGTACACAGGTATCTTTTCCAAAAAAAAAAAAAAAAGAAAAAAAGAAAAACCACGATACACTTGACAAATTGCCGATGGTGAAGTGAAAAAGAAAAGAAATTACAGAGTTTCAGTGTCAATTAATTAGGATGACCAGTCAATCCAACTCGTGTTATACTCTAACTTATCTGGTTTTAGATAGTCAACAATTGGATGATCAGTCAATGGTCCATGGTCAATTCCTTTTCTATATACACACACGGCTTACATCCCACAAAAATTATCCATAACACAAAGAAGTCATGAAACATGACAAGTTTTCAAAACAGTGGGAAAATGATATAAATAACTAAATAACCTGTGAGTTTCAATTAAATATCTCTAGAAGGCAAGCCTTATAGGCCTAAATGCACATTCATGTGACTTTCTTTTTACTTTTTGTTAGCCATCTATTCAATCCCTGTACACTCCATCCGTTATAAAATGACTATCCAATTTAATTAAATTTAAATTTGTAACACAAATCGAACTCAAAATAAATATAATAAATTAGACAATCATTTTAAAACATAGTGAATATATTCTTAAAAGAAGAAGCGTGAGCAAGTTACTTAAAAAGCCAATAATTCAGAGGAAAGAAAATAACATTGTAGCCACATAAATGTATATAATATATACAAACTCGGGCTCCATTTGGACAAGAGTTTTAAAAAGACTTTTAAGCCCAAAAAGTCTGTTTAGAGTTTAAAATACGTTTGGGCACAATACGTTCTTTACATCATGCAAAAAAGATATAACAAAAACCTTGAATTTTGACGTTCCTTTTTACAAAAAAGAAATGAAAGGAAGCTTGTGACTCCAACTATACATCAGTATGGTTATATCGCCGAGTCTTTTAATCAAATCTGGAAGTTTAACTCACTCCGATGATGTAATGTAGTAAGAACTTTAGAACCTGGTGCCCCGGCATTCACGAGGACGATGACGAGGGAACCTGACCCAATCCACACACTAGTTGTAGATTATGGATTTTTTTGCTGAACCCATCTGATCAAATTCCGGCCTTTAGGATCAAGGTCTTGAGGCTGCCACGTCGGATTACAAGGCGGCGAGACGGGTTGTGCCGGAACAACACAACCGACCGGGTTGAAGTTCTGATAGTAAATCGTAAATGGTTGGTTCGACCAATCGGTCTTGACACGGCCACCTTGGGTTGCCCAGTCTTCACCATCCCATAAAATGCAGCAATGGCAGAACTAGACTTCGAGTTTTGGGGGGTCGGATTTTGAATATGATTATTTTTTTTTTCTCTTTTTCATAAGTTTGATACATTTTTATACATGATATATATCAATTTGTATATAAAAAAACTTTTCAAATTGTTTTTAAAAACTTGGACGAAAAAGGGTCACATTATAAACCATACGAACAATAGGAACTGATGAATTAAAAAAAAAACACATTCTAAGTTTTGAATATGAGAATGGGGTTCATTGGAAAAACTCTCAAAGTATAGGAACCAATTGGTAATAATAAATCATTATTAAACCTTCTACATCTTCTTCTTCATATATCATCTGCAACTCCTGCCGGCCGCCACAGTAACTTCCGCCGGCAGTTCCAATGAAAAATTTTCTTACCAAAATTTTGATCCTCTCCCTCTCTCCTTTGGACGTAGATTTCTCTAGTCTTTTCTTATGAAAATTGGGGGGGGGGGGGGGGCTGAACGGGAAAAGACGGAACCGATTAGAGCTCCGGCCATAGGAAACTTGACGGGAATTCCGATCGCCGGGGGTACCCTGACCCCCTGCCACTATGCTAGTTCCGCCGCTGAAGTGCAATATATTTTCATTGATTGTTTGTTTCGGAACGAAACTCCCCTTGCTTACCTTTTTTACGAATATTGTTAGGTTACGGAACCAATAAATTTATGATAACTCCGAAAGAAAATAATAAAGACACAAAATGAGAAAATATATAGAAAACACGACATAATAATTTACATGGTTCGGTCAATTAACCTACATTCACAAGTGAAGGATGAGTAAAGTTTATTATGATAGGCCAAAATACAAACACCAAATGGTGTATACAAAACACCTACCAAATTACTTCAAATATAAGAGAGAGTGATAGGTCTTGAAGTTTCATATTATTTATAGGTATTTGTATAGTATTTTGGATTAGATTGTGCATTTATATTATGTATTTTGATGTTTTTGGTTCCTAGGAGTCCTTAGAGATGAGATGGAGTAAAATGTTTCATAAACACACATTTTTGGAGCATTTTGACAAGGAAACACAAGAAGGAGCAATGACATCACATTCTCGTGTGGGCACACGAATCTCAGTCCAAAATTGAGCTATAGAGAAGAAATTCCAGCATTGAAGCTGCATTCCCATTTGGCCAAACCGAAACAGGGACTAAAATGAAAAATTGAAAAAGTTTTGGAGTCAAAATGTAATTTTGCCAAATTTGAGGGACCAATATGCAAATCTCGGAAAAGTTAATTTGCTGCTGCGGATTTCTGAGAAGGGTGCTGCGGCTGACCTATATTCTGAATATAAATAGACTTTTCTTTTCATTTTGAAAGAGTGGTAGGTAGTAGAATAAAAATAGACCTAGTTTTCCACTTTTAAGGAGCTTTCAAACGCACTTTC